TGTAAGGTCTTTCTTAGTGAGATATCACTGCTTTTTGTAAAAATTTATATTTTCTCTGAAAAATATAAATTACTACATTATACAGTATATACATGGATGTGAATTTTTTAAACATTTATTTAATAGAAAGGAAATATTTTTTTGGAAGGAATTATATAAACAGTATATAATTTTACAAAGCTTATATGTACCTAATTGAATTTGAGCGGACACAATCACAACGTGTCTTAATGCTCAATCTCTTATTGTCAATCATTTAACAGCTTTTAAAACACGATATAATTTTAATAAGATATAATTTTATTTTTATAGATATAATTTTAATACAGAAGTTAAACTGTATAGGTATTCTATAGATATAATTTTAATATAGATGTTAAACTGTATACAAACTGTATAATCAATAATAATATAAATCGTGTAAGTGAATAAATATCAAAATATAGAAAGCAATAGAAAGAAATTTTTTTTATTACAAAGCGTCATTTAATATGAATATGAAACAAGTCCATTTTATTAAATAAACGCATACACATAAAAGGTATATAATTCCTTCTATAATGTATTCTAATAAATGATATAACCAGAAGAGATCAAATATTTTTTTGCATTTATTGATTTATTAAATATGCTTATATATCGCGAAATAGTGCAACACAAGAAGAAAAGTGATACAGTGATTAATAGTTATTAAGAGTATCGTGGAATAGTGCAAGAAAGAGAAGTGATTTCTTTTAATAGATGTCATATTAAGCAAAGTTAGATTATATTAGCGAAATTGAGCTAATGTTTACATTTGAGTGAATCAATGCATTATCAATTAACATATTTGTGATAAATACATTGTTGGAAAATGATTATGGAATCATTGAAGAAATATTTGAAGATTTTGAATCATGTTTTAACGACAAAACTGGTAATTACGTGTGAACGCGCATTCATGTATAATGTTTATTTATATATTATATATAAATGTAATTAATGCATAATTAATATTTTTAGTTTAACTTACAAATGGTTAAGTAATGAGTTTATATTAATGTAGCAAAATAAGTCTTGTGGGAATTCTACCAAAAATATCATAAAATAACATTGAATACACATTTTTATTAATTGATTTGTAATTAATGCATAATTAAAATTTTTAGTTTAACTTACAAATGGTTAAACAATGAATTTATGTTAATACAGCAAAATAAGTCTTGTGGGGATTCTACCAAAAATATCATAAAATAATATTGAATACACATTTTTATTAATTGACTTTATAAAAAATAATGAAATGCATAAAATCATATCGAAGCACTTCTATAATGTCCACAAATATTTTGCGGATATGGAATTACTCGCAACTTTTGGTTCTGGAAATGTATGAATGTTTACTTATATTTTATTTATAAATGTAATTAATGTGTAATTAATATTTTTAGATCATTTACAAATGGCTAAGCAATGAGTTGCATGCTTACGTTAATATAACAAAACAAACTTGTGGAAATTGTATCAAAAATATGATATACAATTGAATTCAAAGCATCAGAGTTAGAGAAAATAGAAATTGGAAATATTAGCCAAAGAAGAGAAATATGGTAATAAATTTGTTTATAAATTATATAATAAAGGTTATTTATTTTCTTGGATAATAGTAAATATTTGAAGATTTTGAATCATGTTTTAACGACAAAACTGGTAATTACGTGTGAACGCGCATTCATGTATAATGTTTATTTATATATTATATATAAATGTAATTAATGCATAATTAAAATTTTTAGTTTAACTTACAAATGGTTAAACAATGAATTTATGTTAATACAGCAAAATAAGTCTTGTGGGGATTCTACCAAAAATATCATAAAATAATATTGAATACACATTTTTATTAATTGACTTTATAAAAAATAATGAAATGCATAAAATCATATCGAAGCACTTCTATAATGTCCACAAATATTTTGCGGATATGGAATTACTCGCAACTTTTGGTTCTGGAAATGTATGAATGTTTACTTATATTTTATTTATAAATGTAATTAATGTGTAATTAATATTTTTAGATCATTTACAAATGGCTAAGCAATGAGTTGCATGCTTACGTTAATATAACAAAACAAACTTGTGGAAATTGTATCAAAAATATGATATACAATTGAATTCAAAGCATCAGAGTTAGAGAAAATAGAAATTGGAAATATTAGCCAAAGAAGAGAAATATGGTAATAAATTTGTTTATAAATTATATAATAAAGGTTATTTATTTTCTTGGATAATAGTTAAACTTATTTTTTAAAAGCAATGAGAAACGTGAACATGGAAATTGATGGTTTATTCGGATGGAGCTGCTTTTTCCAATATAATGTTATCGAAGAGTATTAGAATATCTGTCATCGACAAATATAATTCAAGTTTGAATCAGAATGAAGAGGAAGAGTCGGTTAATGATGCTGAATTGCAAATTTTATTAGAGGATTGATACAAAAGTTTATAATAATTTGGCATCTGCGTTGATTAAAACAGAAGCCTACGATGCAGTTTTAGAAAATGTGAAACATGCTTCGAGGTGTCACCCACAAAATGTTAAAGCACTATTTAGGGTAAATATAGCGAAAAGGGGACCCAGCCCAAATGACCTTGATCTTGATATATGTTGTCAAGGACATAATTCTGAGTAACTTTTTCTTCTGATTTAATCGTCGCTCGTTGCTTATTAAAAAGTTATTAACAAAAAAAGTTTGAAATATACCAAAGTACACGCATGGACAGGAAGCACGCGCGCGCACACATACACATACACACACACGGGGAGAGTGCAAAGGGGGCCTTCGACCACCCTCTCGTACCCACCCCGCCGGTAGGCAGGATGGACCACGCTTTACAACTTACAAAGTACATACTACATTGTAAAGCGAGGTCCACCCTGCCTACCGACGGGGTGGGTGCGGGAGGAGGGCCGAAGGCCCCCCTTGCACCCTCCCCGTGTGTGTGTGTGTGTGCGCGCGCGCGCGCGTGCTTCCTGTCCATGCATGTATTTTGGTATATTTCAAACTTTTAAGTTTTACTTTTTCCTCTTCCCCCGGCGTGCTAATCTTCCATGTTTCGGTACTCGAGAATATCATTATT